CTCTATAAATTGATTATTTCCATTACTGAGCCTGCCATTATTTTCTACCAACTCTGTAAATTCATCATTTATATTTACAATTTCATTAATTATAAATTTAGGTGATTCTTTAATATCATTATTATTATTGACATGAATTTTTTTTGAGGTTTTGTTATTATTAATAGTATTACTTAAGCTATCTTTACTAAAATTTAAACTGCTGCTATTGCCATGATTAATATCACTGTAGTTATTATTATTATTAAAATATGATGATGACATTTGGCAGAAATAATGGCATATTTATTGATTATTTATAAAGAAAAAATTAATAACCAAAAAAAAAAAAAAAAAGAAATTTTAAAAAAAAAAAAATAAAATAAAAGAAATTATTTATTTATTTTAATAAAAGTTAATTATTTATAAAAAATATATAGAAATATAAATATAAATAAAAAAATAAAAATAAAAATAAAAAAAGAAATATTAATATAATTTTCACCAGAGATTTTTTTTTATTTTTTCAATTAAATTGAGAAAAAAAAAAAAATTAAAAATAAAATAAATTAATACGCGATCAAAAAAAAATGTCGTTATACTTCTATTTTAGGGGCCACATTCGTTTTTTGTTTGGCCACTCCACAAATTATAGCACAAAAAAAATAAAAATAAATATTTTATTATAAAACCTTAAAAATTATTGATTAAATTAAATAAATTTTTTGATTACCCAAAAATATAAATAATTAAAATTTATTTGTTTTTATTTATTAATTTTATTTATTTTTTTTTAATTCGGTTTTTTTTTTTTTAAAATTTTTTTTATAAGATACAATATGTATTATTTTATAAAAAATATTATTTGGTTGTGGCAGTTTGTGATTATTGAGGTTTGCATACAGGCGGACGATGAGCTTTTTTGGGGTTTTCTTCTTCTAAATCAATACCATGAAAATACATATTATCAATATAATTTTTTGGGCTATTTTCGTTATTGTTATTATTATCTATATTATTGATATTATTGATATTATTTTCAATATTATTGGTATTATTTTTATTATTTGATTTTATATTGTTATTATCATCATTTTTATTTTCGTCTTTATCACTGTTGAATGAAAAAGATTGAATTTGATCTAAATTAGAATAATAATTATTTTGCATTTTTTCAAATTGAACATATTCGTTGCTTTGTAAAATGGAATCAGGATCGTAATTAAAACTACTTTTAAAAAATGAATAATTTAAAAAAGATAAACTAAATGGATCTGTATATAATCTATTTTTATAAATTAGTATAAGGTGATAAATAAAAGGTTTATGTTTAAATTACTTACGGGAAATAAAAATAATTAGAGTTAGTTTTTTTATTTATATATCTTGTAAACATAGTTTGCTTTTGGTTATTTGGACTAGGTGTTACTGATGTGCCACTTTCTAAAACTTTAGAGTCATTATTAAAATCAACACTTGGCATACTCGATATACTCGATAAAGTAAAATCAATATTGGGTGTGTTTGGTATTGATGATGTTAGTGTCGGTGTCGGTGTCAGTGTTGGTGTTGATTCTGGTTCTGATTCTGATTCTAATGGATATTTCTTTTCTTTAACTAAAATCTATTATTTATTAAAAAGTAATTAGTAAATAAATTAATAAATTAATTGTTTGGTTCAAATACAAACCATTTGATTATTATATAGCTTTATAGTTCTTGGTGTTAAAAATAAATAGAGTTCTTGTGTTGCTGTACCACCATCAAAATTGTATATATCTGCATCACCAAATGGTATATTAAATAATTTACAAGCCCTCTAATTTTAAAAAAATAAAATTAATAAATATTTTGTATAGTTCAATTTAAAAGTGATAATTTAAAACTTACTTTTTTTAAAGAGAAAAAGGTTTCGTATTGGAATGCATGACTTTTAGTAATATATTGGCAATATTTGATATCTGATGATTTTATAAGGAATAGTGTTATTGGTATTTTTAAATCTATATCACCTTTGTCGGTTACTTTTCTGATAATATCTGGTGATCCGCCATATATTTTTTTAAAAATATTCCAAATATCAATTGGTACAACTGTAAAATCCAAATACTCTTTAATATCACATCTTAATAGTTGATCATCATCGGATGTAATGTCTAAAAGTGGATAGTTATCGATTGGACCCAATTCATCTTTACGGAATATTCCTTTTTCCCATTCGCTAAACCAAGTCTGATTAACCAATGCCCATTCATTGTATTGAAATTTTGGTGTTGAGTTAATAGTTGATAAAAGTTGATTAATTTGATCTTTTGTTAAATCATCATATAGTATGATTTCACTAAAAAATATATCATTTAATTCTAGCTGTTTTTCTAATTGTTGTTGGACCATTGAAAGTTGTTGGGGTGGGGGTGGTTCTAATTGGGAATGATATTTTAAAATTTCATGAATATTTATGTTATAACTATTCTCGTTATTAGGAACATCTTGATAGGTATTGTTGTAAATATCCATATCCATATCCATATCCAAATTATTTATATTTATATTTTTATTTTCCGTTCTATTAATATTACTATTTTGATTTATATTATCCATATTATCTATATTATCTATATTATCTATATTATTGTTGCTATTATCTATACTATCTATATTATCTTTATTATTATCATTATAGCTATTGATGTTGATGTTGTCATAGTCTTTTGGTGGGATATTGTTTGCTTTAATGCTATTTGTCAATGATAAAATTTCATTTTTAATCATTTTTATCATTAAATTTTGTTCTTCAACGATTTGGTCGTCGGGAATATCTTTTAATATTGATCTTAAACCACCAAGATTGGTATTAATGGAGTCTGAGCTTATATTTGATAGATTTTCAGAGTTGTTTAAATTATGTAGATTGTCATTATTATTACTATTGTCGTTATTATTATCATTATTATTATTGCTATTGTTGTTATTGTTTACATTGTTTGTTAATGATAGAATTTCATTTTTGATCATTCGAATTTTTAACTTTGTTTCTTCATCCAATTGGTCATCTGGGATCTTTTTTAACATTAACCCTAATCTACAAATATCAGAATTGTTTGGAGATGAGGGCACACTATTATCATCGGTGCTATATAAATGATCATTATTTATACTACAATTATTATTGATGAGGTTATCTTTACTATTGTGTATATTATTATTATCATTATAGCTATTTATATTATTACGTGTACTATTGAGGGGTGTTTCATAAGGATTGCCATTGTAAAAATTACCAATATTCAAACAGTCATTACTATTATAAGACCAAGACATTGAGTTAGTTTTATATTTGCATTATATTTTCGATAAAAGTAACAAATTATTAAATTATTAAATTGTGTATTTGTTTTTAAAAAAAAAAAAAAAATAAAAAAAATAAAAAATAAAAATAAAAAAAAAATTAAAAAAAAAAAAAAAAATCTTCGCTCAAACAGAAGGAGTAAAGATTCAAATTTTAAAATTTTAAAAATAACCGACACTTTTTATTAATTTAAAAATATTTTATGGATGATATTTAATGATTTTTAAAATCATAATTTTTGTTGCAATATATACTTGAACTAACCCCATTTATTCACTTAAAATACTGCATAACCAGTTACTTGAACCACAACTTTAACTAATACCCATACTTGAGCCGCCATTTGAACCACAACTTGATTTTGCTTTATGCTTTTTATATATATGTACCATCATTGGAACTAGCCATATTTATTCACAACTTAAAACCCAATTAAACTAATTACTTTGAACCACAACTTGATTAAGATTTATTCTTTTTAATATATTCCATCGGAACTAATAACATTTATTCATATTTAACACCACTTGACTAAAATTTTGGACCACAACTTTATGCTTTATTTACCATTCTTAACACTGCTTATGTTTAATATAGATGACTAAATTTGAGGAGATTTAATTTAATGAACCTAATTATAAATTAATAAATTATTAATATGTGTCTAAAATATATTTGTAAAAATAATATTATTTTATATACCTTTTCTATCTATAAATTATTGATTAACTATATTAATACCGAAATTTATTGGACCAAGGTCAATACTATCTGAATCTTAATTATTAATTTTGTTTAGGTTATTTGTGTATTTGGTTATTTTTGTGACTAATATATTGGGTATTTGTTAATATAAACATCCCTAAATCTTTTCCTCTTCATCTAATTTGTTTTAATATTTGCAGGACTGACATATAAATCGAATGGAATAACTTTCAATTACATTAAGACTTGCTCTACCACATACATTGCCACTGGATGTTCTATCATTAGACTTCATTAGAAACACCTTATAAACTCCCATTTGAAACAATATTGGACCCATCACTTGAACTATTACATGAATTTCCACTATATTTAAATACCTTTGACATTTGCTATTCTTAAAAACTCTACTTATGTTTATTTCCAACTCTTTTATGCTGATAATGACTAATGAAAAAATATTCGTAAACTATAATAAAAAAGTTGGCATCTAAGTTATAAAAAAGTAGCTGTTATTTAAAAAAAAGCTGAATATTTTAAAAAAAAAATTAATTAATTTGAAATAAAAAAAAAAAAGTGAAAAAATAAATTATTTACCTCTAGAAAATTGATTTTTGGTATTTAATTGGTTCTCATACATAATGAACCATAATGGGATTCTGCGTGATGTGATAAAAGTATTGTTTTATCGGCTTTGACGGAAATTGGTGTAATTTCAACGAAGTAATTGTGGGATTCTACCGAAGATATAATTGAAATATTGGCTTTATAAATTTCGGCAGCAGCAAGCAAAGTTAAATGGTCACCCCAAAAGCCACTTTTTGCCATTCTAGTACAATATACTTCCCAGTTTTCATCGGAAAATTTACTAATGGCCTCTCCGTTTGAGAGGAAGAAATTCTTATTACGTCTAAGCCATTGAACAATAATGCATCTGATTTCATAACTATGGTCCAAGTCACCATAGAGTTGATCTGAAAGAGAGTGCATTTGGCAGTTGCCATCTCCTGGGATTTCGCTTTTATTTTTTAAATGATAGAGTTGTAAACGTTCTCTTAAACGTTTACGGGCAGCTTTGAATCTTGATAGAGGAGATGGTTGTGGTTGTTGTGGTTGTTGTGGTTGTTGTGGTTGTTGTGGTTGTTGTGGTTGTTGTGGTTGTTGTGGTTGTTGTGGTTGTTGTGGTTGTTGTGGTTGCTGTGATTGTTGTGGTTGCTGTGGTTGTTGTGGTTGTTGTGATTGTTGTGGTTGTTGTGATGGTTGCTGTGGTTGTGGTTGCTGTGGTTGTTGTGATTGTTGTGGATGACATACTGAATAATTTGTTGGAGCGGTGATTGGGTTGAATATTTTGCAGTTGTCATTTTGGTTATTGTTATTGTTATTATTATTATTATCTATATTATCTATATTATTATTATTATTATCATTATTATTATTATTATTATTATTATTATTATTATTGTTATTATTATTATCAATATTATTATTATCATTATTATTATTATTATTATTATCAATATTATTATTATTATCGATATTATTATTGAGGGGGTTATATATTCTTGTTAAATAAAAATAATAATAGATTACAAAAATAATTAAATCTAACATTTTTTATTAAAAAATAATTTATCTATAAAATAAAAAAAATGTGATGATGCTGATTATATGTTAAAAATAATATTATATGAAAAAAACTATGAGTGATTTGAAAGCTTTAATGAATGAAAAAAAATTATTTTATATTATAATGAAAAAAAAAAAAATTAAAAAAAAAAAATTAAAAAATTATTTAATAAATTTTTAATTTTCAATTAATTGAAAAAATTTTTATATAAATTGGGATATTTGAAAAAAAAAAAAAAATTAAAAAAAAAATAAAATAAATAATATTTTTAAAACAATGAAAACATGATTTAAATATATAATATAATATTGTTAAAAATATTGAGGAATTTAATTGAATAAAAAATTATAATATATTATAGATTTGATAGTTGCTGTTTGATGTGTTTTTAATTTATTAATTTTTGATAAAGTATTGAAGATTGTAGTTTAATGAATTTTCCCATTGAAACGACTTCATTATAGATTCTAGAACTTCAGATTTTAATTTCTTATTTAATATATTTGAAAATGATAAAAGCAATCCGTTTTTTGCAAGTTTGTTGTAATGAGAACTTGAGTATTCTTTCATTTAAACTAATTGGGTTTTATAATGTTGCTAGAGTTATTTCAAATATATTGATACTTACTAATAATTGATTATATTAAATAAATTCACCTTCTGCTATTTTCTTTAATTCTATATTTTTGTTAATTAAAAAAAAGTTTAATTATTTTACCCGTACTTGTAGACATTTAAAAATAATTCCAGTATTGTCTTTATTAATTGCCTCTGCCATCGTTTATATTACTAAAATTATATATGTATGTGTATATTTTAATTTTTTAAAAATAATAAAAAAATTTTATAAAAAAAATTATTAAATAAATTTATAAATAGGTGTAATAGATGAGGGAAGAAAGAAATTAAATCATTACATTAATCCAATTTTACAACTGCCCAAAAAAAACAAGTTTCTAATTAATATAAGAATGAAGAAAGAAATCCAATTTTACAATGAACGTCCAAATTAAAAAAAAAAAAAATTTATGATTAAAATAATTCTTTTTAACAAATTAGTAATTTAAATTTTTTTAACTATTTTATTGGTATTATAAAATAATTTTTAAATAAAAAAATAAAGTAGTTTAACATTTATTTTTTATTATTAAAAAAAAAAAAAAAAAAATTGTAAAAGTTCCTATTGTGTTTTACAAACAGGGGGTCTTTGTTTAACTTTTTCGGGGATTGTTTCTAAATCAAAACCATGAAAATATGTACTATCACTACTGGGTGTGCTGGGTTCGTTACTACTAAAACTACTAGTGCTGCTGGGCGTGTTGAGGTCACTACTACTATTGGTTTCTTTATTTTCACTTGTTTCATTACCAAATGAAAATGATTGAATTTGATTAAGAGTTGAGTTATAGTCTTCTTGTGTTTTAACAAATTGAATATACTCTTCACTTTTTAAAATAGTATTTGAATCATAATTAAAACTACTTGTAAGGAATGAATAATATAAAAAAGATAAACTAAATGGATCTGTATAGTGTCTATATGGATAATAAAGTTAGTTTTTTTTTTATTAAATGTTATTATTTTAAAAATTAGTTTACTTACGGACAATAAATAAAATTTAAATCCACATTTCTTTTTTCATATTTTTTCCATGCTTTGTTTTCTGTGTTTGTTGAGGTTGTTGTAGTTGTTGTGGTTGTTGTAGTTGTTATTGCAGGCTTTATTGGTGTTTGCTGATTTTCGGGACCACTATCTTCAATAGGGGTAATTTTTGAAAAATAATTAAAATCAATATTAGAGGTACTTGTTGTAGTTGTTGGGGTATCTGATTCTATTGGGTGTTTCTTTTCTTTAACTAAAATCTGTATTTAAAAATAATGGATTAATAAATTTTAATACAAATTAAGCTATAACGAATATATATATATATATATATATATATATATATTACCATTTGATTATTATATAGTTTTACTGATCTTGGTGTTAAAAATAAATAGAGTTCTTGTGTTGCTGTACCACCATCAAAATTAAATAAATCTACATCACCAAATGGTAAATTAAATAATTTGCATATTCTCTTTTAATATAAAAATAGTTTTATTAGTATGTAAATATATTTGTGTATATGAAGTAGGGTTTTAATAATTTACTTTTTTTAAAGAGAAAAAGGTTTCATACTGAAATACATGAGTTTTCGTAATATATTGACAATAGTTGATATCTGATGATTTTATAAAGAATAATGTTATTGGTATTTTAAGATCTATATCACCTTTGTCGGTTACTTTTCTGATAATATCTGGTGATCCGCCATATATTTTTTTAAAAATATTCCAAATATCAATTGGAACAACTGTAAAATCTAAATACTCTTTAATATCACATCTTAATAGTGGATCGTCATCGGATGTAATGTCTAAAAGTGGATAGTTATCGATTGGACCCAATTCATCTTTACTGAATATTCCTTTTTCCCATTCACTAAACCAAGTCTGATTAACCAATGCCCATTCATTCTCTGGAATTTTTGGAGTAGATTTAATGATACTTTTTAAATGATAAATTTGATCTTTTGTTAAATCATCATTGTAGTTATTTGAATTGGTATCGTTGTTTTCTTTAATACTATTTGTTAATGATAAAATTTCATTTTTAATCATTTTGATCATTTGGGTTTGTTCTTCGCTTAAGTTTTCATCTGATACTTCTCTCAATATTGAACCAAAGCTATCGTTTTCCCCAACATTTGGGGCTTTTATATTATTTACAATATTATTATTATTATTATTATTATTTACATTATTATTATCTATATTATAATTTGAACTATTTACAAAACTATTATTATTATTAAAATTTGTGACATTGTCATTGTGACCGTTATTTATTTTAAAGCTATTTGTTAATGATAAAATTTCATTTTTAATCATACGAATTTTATTATTTTGATCCTCATCTAGTTGATTATCTGGAATATCTTTTAATATTGAGTCTAAGCTATTATCACCGATGTTATTAGATGGAGTTAAAGTTGTCGTAGTTGAAGTGGTTGTTTCTATTTTACCATTATCTATAAAAGCTATATTTTCATTTATATAATTGTCTATATTATTATCTGAATTATTATCTATATTGTTATCCATATAATCTATATTATTACTGGTATAATTGAGATCTATGTTGTGCAGGTCCTCATTAAAAAAATTCTCTGTGCCATAATTTAAAAAATTGAAAAGACCATTATTATTATTGTTATTATTATCTCCATTATTATTATAATTATTATTATTACTATTATTATTACTATTATTAAAAGACCAAGACATTTAGAATTAAATTATTTGCATTATTAGTATTAATTCAAAATAAAAATTAAAAAAAAATAAAAAAAAAATAAAAAAAAATAAAAAAAATCAAATTTTAAAAAAAATTAAATTTAACAAAAAAAAACGAATTGAAAAGAATGGAATTATTTATTTTTATAGTTAATAAGTTTTATTTAATATACATCTGTATAATTATAAATTTAAATTTAGAAAACAAAAAAAAAAAAAATTATTTATTGTGGTCAGTTATTGAGGTTTACATACAGGCGGACGATGAGCTTTTTTAGGATCTTCATCTTCAATATCAATACCATGGAAATATATATTATCATTTTTGTTGTTGTTTTTGTTACTACTGGTGTTGTTACTACTGGTGTTGTTACTACTGGTGTTGTTACTACTGGTGTTGTTACTACTGGTGTTGTTGGATGTATTTTTACTTGTTTCATTGTTATCAATATTACTAGTTTTATTGTCATCTTTTTTATCGGTGCCCAATGAAAAAGATTGAATTTGATCTAAATTAGAATAAAAATTATTTTGCATTTTTTCGAATTGAATATATTCATTGCTTTGTAAAACTGCATCAGGGTCGTAATTAAAACTACTTTTAAAAAATGAATAATTTAAAAAAGATAAACTAAAGGGATCTGTGTATAACCTATTATTTTTAAAAATTAATAAAAATACCCAAAAGAAATAAACAGTTTATTATTATTTAAATAAGTTTACTTACGGATAATAAAAGAATGCCTTTTCATCTTTAGTTTTATTTGAATTGGTCGATTTGTTTTTTGGTGAAAATTTATTATTTACAGTATTGGATGGTGTGTTACTATTTAAAACTTTGGAATCATTATTAAAGTTAACATTTGGCATACTCGATATATTTGATCGCTCTAAATCAACATTGGGTATATTTGGTGACGTTGTTGAATCTGGTGATTCTATCGGATGTTTTTTTTCCTTAACCAAAATCTGTTTTTTTTTAAAAAAAAGAAATTAATTTACAATTTAAATCGGTATTAATCTTTATACAATTAAATTACCATTTGATTATTATATAGCTTTATAGTTCTTGGTGTTAAAAATAAATAGAGTTCTTGTGTTGCTATACCACCATCAAAATTAAATAAATCTACTTCATTAAATGATAAGTTAAATAAATTGCATACTCTCTTTTTATAATAAAAGAAAATTATGTTAGTTTATTCTTTAATTAAATAATGCATAGGGTTTAATACTTACTTTTTTTAAAGAGAAAAAGGTTTCGTATTGGAATGCATGAGTTTTAGTAATATATTGGCAATATTTGATATCTGATGATTTTATGAGGAATAATGTTATTGGTATTTTTAAATCTATATCACCTTTGTCGGTTACTTTTCTGATAATATCTGGTGATCCACCATATATTTTTTTAAAAATATTCCAAATATCGATTGGTACAACTGTAAAATCTAAATACTCTTTAATATCACATCTTAATAGTGGATCGTCATCGGATGTAATGTCTAAAAGTGGATAGTTATCGATTGGACCCAATTCATCTTTACTGAATATTCCTTTTTCCCATTCGCTAAACCATGCTTGGTTAATTAGTGCCCACTCTTTGAATTGAACTTTTGGAGTGGAAATAATAATTGATTTTAATTGATTAATTTGATCTTTTGTCATATCACCACTAATATTTGAAAATAGCTTCATGTTTATATCATTAGTTTCAGTTTTTGGGGGACTGAGGTTATTTATTTGTTGTTGAGGATTTATAGTTGCTTCACTATAGGTGTATGTATTGTTTATATTTATTGGTATAGAAGATGCTTGTTTTTCATCGTTCAATGGAGTTTCTAAATTAAAATCACTACTATAATAATTTAGATTGTTACTGTTGATATAATTGATATTGCTATTGTTGTTATTGTTGTTATTGTTGATATTATTGCTATTGTTGATATTATTGTTATTGTTATTAATATTTTGTTGATTGGTATTATTCTGATTTTTTTGGCTTGATTTAATACTATTTGTTAATAATAATATTTCATTTTTTATCATTTGAATTTTTAGTTTTTGTTCTTCATTTAAATTACTATTATTTGAAGATTCTAATACTGCTAAATTTAAACTTAAAATTGATTCTAAATCCATATTACTGTGACTACTGTTATTATTATTATTACTATTATTATTGTTGTTGTTGTTGTTGCTACTGCTGCTATTGTTATATAGTAATGTTGGCGTTATGTCTATGTTTGGTTGTTCTTTAGCTTCAGTATCATTTGATTGTATTCCGATAGAACTGTCATTGAAGAAATTAAAATTATTTACACTAAAATTTAAAAAGTTACTTGTACTAAGATTTAAATTTATATTACTATCACCATTGTTATTATTATCAGCAATTTCATTATTATTATTATTGTTATTATTATAAGACATCTATTTTTTTCATGTTATAAAAATAAAAAAATGGTTAAAAAAAATTTAAATTAAAATAAAAAAAATTTTTTAATTTTTTTAATTTTTTTTTCTATTATTATTAATATGAAAATAAATGAGAGTTTAAAATGATTGTTTAATTTAACTAAATATAATGATAATTTTAAAAATAATTAAATTTTCAAAAAAAAAAGTATATATATTTTTTTTATTTATTTACAAATTTGAAATTTCTTTAACACATTCACAAAAATGATTAAATGAAAATGTTGAAGAAAATTCTAATTTTATTCTATCTTCTGGACTGTAAATATAGAATGGCCTCCAAATTAAAAACAAAGATTTTATTTTATCAAGTCGGGGAAATGGTTCTATGCCGGTATCTCTTAAAGCATCATAAAAAACATCACACTGATTCTCTTTTTTAGCCAATAGTAAAAAAGTCAAAGCGGTGTTTAGGCAACATATATCTATAATAATAATCGATAGTTAGTAAATATATTAATATACCATAAAACAATAATAATAATAATAATAATAACTGCTTACTTTCGGCGCTTATAGTCTCGGGTGTTAACATATCCAATAAATGAAGAAAAATTTTAACTTTATTATTGTTAAAAAATTTATAGACTTTACATTCCTCCAATGGATAGGGTAAATAATTTTCCTAAATAAATTATATTAGTATATAATAAGCAATAATAATAATAATAAATGATGACTACATACATTATTTGAATTTAAACTATTTTCATTCTTAAAACTATAAAGAGAAATTGAAATATATCTTAAACAAACATTTGAACTATTTAAATTATCTAAAAATAAACTAAAGAACTTTTCTGTAATATTTTGTTTTTGGTTCTCATTATTATTATCTTTTGATAATTCCATTGCATTTAAATAATGATTTAATATACTGAAGCTATTTCTATTATTTTTAATTAATTCCCCAAAAAGATCGAATGCGTTTTCCATGAATCTAATATCATTCGTTAAAATTTCTTCAACCAATGATTCCAAAAGTTTATTTTCTAAAAAGTAATTTTGAAGTGATTGATTTGGCCAAGTTCTAACCATTGACTCCATTAAATAGGATATTGATAGGTGCTCTTTCTCTAAAGTAAAACTATCTTTATATGCTTTAAAAATTAAATCTACAATATTTTCTATATTTTCTATATTTTCTTTATTTTCTTTATCCTGCGCTGCTGAATTTAATAGTTGTTGTTTTTTATTATTTTGGATTTCTTTTTCATATTTTAATGATAAAAGATTACCCATTGATAAAACCACATCTATGTCACACCAAACTATTAATAAATCTATAATATACATTTTCTTTGCAAAAAAGGGACTTGAATCTTCCTTATACTCCTATATTTAATATAAATGTAAACAACACTATTAGAATATTAAAAATTGAAATAGTATTTAATATAAATGCTAACAACATACCTGTTTTTTCCAATCGATTGATTTAAACAATAAAATCAAAGTATCGAGGAAATTAAATTGATTCAAAAGTATTATGGCTTGAGACTTCCTTGTACCAGATAGTAAAATATATAAGATGAATAATATTTCAGTTTGGCACTCTGCGGTTGTATAATCTTTTAAAACTTTTAAAAGGTCATTGTCATCCACATTTTCGGTTTCAATATTTAAACTATATAATACATCTGAAATATTCTCTATATATATCATTCTATAGTTGTAATTTGCCGTTTCTAAATCTTCTAAATCGCCATCGCTATTTATGTTGCTGCCAATACCATAATTTTCATCGTCTCTAATTAATGGTGATATCCAATCACTGTGCGTTGATTTCTTTAATAACAATGTTATTTTTTTTAAAAAATTAGGTATTCCCAATACTATTGCTATTAATAAATAAATATTTTTATTAGTATATTAAACATATATATATATATATAATAAAAAGAAAATTATACAAACATTGGTTTATACTATAAATGGTTTGTAAATTATTGATTTTTTGTTCAATAATTTTTTCAAGAGAGGAATCATCGTCATCATCCTCAGAAGTATGATAGTTGAAATCAGTGCATGAAGTGAAAAGCATTCTGATGAATAAATATAATTTGGAATTGTTTATTATTAGATTTGAAATCTTATAAAAATCTTGAATTTTCTTTAGGTCGAAAGGTTCACTTGATTCCAAAAACAAACTGTTTAGAGTCTTGAGTACATCTTCAACCAATGATCTATTGTGTAATAATCTAAATATTAATGAAACCATATCGTCTGATCCCATAACCCATTGTGTGAACTCTTGAAGTGGAGACATTAATTTAATTATTTTTAACGTTAACAATTGAACTTCTTTAGACTCTATATTTACTATTAATATTAATCTAATATAATAATGTCCATGTAATGACATAAAATAATTTTTAAATTTATCATTACTATTTAAACAAAATGCAATATCTTCTAGTATTTGTCTAATCTAATTTAAAATGTAAAATGGATTATAAAAACATTAATACCATTGATCTTTTATAATATACATGAATGTATGAATGGATGAATATTAATTTTAACAAATACCTACTTGGTTTATATTTAAAGCTTCATAATTTAAAAAACTGTAAAGTGATTCTAATAACTTCCATAACTTTGTGATCTTTTTATTTTGTTGATTTAAAAAATCATTTGGTATATCATTAATCTTTTGATATGACCTGGTGCCAAGTTCTTTTTCATATAATAATCTTGATAAATTAAATTTCATTTTTCTATATTCTTTATTATTAAAGTTTATAATAACTATAACACTATCATTATATAAATATATAAATGAAACATAAGTATAGGTTTATTAATAAAAAAAAATAAAAAATAAAAGTATAAAAATAAAATAATAAAATTAAAAAATTTTAATAAATAAAAATAAATTTAAAAAAATAAAAAAATTTAAAATAAAAAAAAAATAAAAATAAAAAAAAAAATTAATAATAATTAAATTAACAATATGATAATATGAAATATTTTTTTTTTTTTTTTTTTTAAATTAATTTAATAATTAAAAAAAAAAAAAAAATAATATAATACTTTTATTTGAAATTTAAATAACCTTAAAACAGATTGATATAAATAAAATACCAAAAAAAAAAAAAAAAACAATATGTTTCTTTTTTTAGTATTTTTATATAAAAGGAATAATTAATATTTTTAGTTTGATTTTGATTTTTTTTGGTGTATTTTTTAATTAAATTAAAAAATCACAGAGAGCGTGTGTGTTAATTTAAATTTCTAAAATATAATTTAAATAATTACCATGTTTATGGTTAACTTTATAACCATAATCATGTAATTTTTGAATGTGATTAATACCATTGGCATAAATATTTAATACAGTTGAAGGAATTGAATCTTCAAAAAGAAATTGATTAAATTCATAATAGAGTTTGAGGTTTTTTACATTTGAAGGAAGAGAGACAAGGGGTGCTTTAGAGATACTGCCAAGTTTGAGTGTATCGATTGATTTTGGTATGACGGTGTCTTGGGTTACTGGACTGCTATTAGGGCCAAGTTTCAAGTGGGTAACCGATGGTGGAATTGAAATACTAGAGAACTCTTTTGAGAGGATGGTTGATATGTTACAATCTAGTTTGAGCGTTTTAACAGACGAGGGAATAGAGTTAAATACCAATGGTGAACTGTATGATTTGCCGATTTTAAGGGACTCTAGCGTATCTGGGAGTGTATTGGGCTTGATCATTTGATTAAAATCGCTACCTAGATAGAGCACTTTTAAACCAGATGGAAGAACACCAAAGTCCAAGGGCTGATTAAAAGAATTGCCGCAGTGGAGATGGGTGAGTGTGCTTGGTAACACTCCATAATCCAATGGATGGTTATAACTGTCGCTTAGTATTAACTTTTCTAAATTTCGAGGTAAAGAATCTTTTGACAATTTAAAATTGAAGACACCCCCAAGCGACAATGTTTTGATCGATAATGGTAAGGAGTGTGGTTCGATGGATTTATTGAAAAGTTTATTAAAATATAAATGATTTAGTTGCTTTGGTAATCTATTTCCAAACTCTTCTTCTGTAACTGTCTTATCGTAGTAATATCCCTTTAATGTGGTTAATGACTTTGGTAATTGATCGACCTCTATAACATGTTGATATCGTTCATTTTCGAAACATAGGCTTTTTAAACTATCTCCACTTGGTAATACTCCACATTCGATGGGTTGGTCAAACTCCTCACCAAAACAAATACTCTTTAGATTGCTATGAAGAGTGCCCACACTTAATGGTTGATTATAATCATCCCTAAGTGAAATATCTACTACGGAATTTGGGATAATACCTGGTTTAATTTGTTGGTTTAAACCTATTATTAACTTTTTGATGCCATTTGGTATAAAATTAATTTCAATTGGGTCAAAACAATAATATGATTTTATTTTATTATTGTTTGAATTATCGCTATTATCATTGTTATCGTTATGATTGCTATTACTATCTATATAATCTTCGTTTGATAATATTATTGATTTTTTATTACTGTCATTATTACTATCAAGCTGATTATTATTATTATCGCTACTATTATTATTATTATTATTACTACTATCATCATCATAAAACAAATCATTATTATTATTAAAAACTGATGAATATGAACTGTATGTCATCTCCAATAAATATGATTTATATTTGAATAATGATAAAGTATTTATATTGAATGGATATTCTCTGCTATATTTTAATACTTTATTATAAACTCTAAGGTGTTCGAATATTAAACAGTTTAAATAACGATTCCTCCAAATTTTAAAAAATAAAATCTCATTTTCTTCATTAATAATAGTTATTTTATTAAAACCACAATTAAAACTATTTTGATTTTCATTATTACTAATTTCATAAGAGGAATTGATATTAATATTCATATGATTGTTATTATCGGTAATAGTGCGATTTTCATAACCAGTAGTGCAGCTATTATTATGACTATTGTTATTATGATTTTTGTTTTGTTTATTTTGATTTTTACATAAAAAATTTATAATATTATTTGTTGATTCATTATTATTTTTAATTGTTTTTTTACAGTTTTTATTTTGTTGTGTATTTGTTGTTGTGGTAGTTGTTGTTGTTGTTCCAGTTTGAATATTACTATTATTATTATTATTATCATTATCATTATTACTACCATTATTATTATTTGAATTGTTATTGTGTCGAAAAAATAATTTAAAAAAATTATTATTTTTAAAATAAACTATAGGTGGCTCCATTATATACATGAATTTATTATTTAAAAAATTATAAAAATTAAATTTAAAATTAATTTAAAATTAAAATTAAAATTAAAAAAGATAGAAAAAATAAAATAAAAAAAAAGATATAATACAGAATAGATTAAAAAACTTTTTGAAAATCTTTTTTTTTTTTTTTTTTTTGTTTTTTTTTTTTTTTTTTTTTCTTCTATTTATTTATTTTAAATTAAAAATAAAATAAAAAGAAATGAAGATGCAGGGAAACTGTCATATATAAATATATAATAAATAAAACTTTTAAAAAATAAAATAAATTTAAAAAATTAAAAAAATTAAAATTTAAAATAGTTTAAGTGGTATCATAGAATTGACCGAATTATTAAAATACAATTGTATTTTTTTGTTGTTGCTATTTTAATATATTTTATGCACACATTATTATAATTATGATATTATATGATATGATATGATATTATTATACGATGCGATAAATTATTTGTAAAAAATAAAAAAAACAAATTATGTGCTATGTCTTTATTTTTTAAACTTTTGAATAAAAATAAGTAAAAAAAATAAATAAATAAATAAATAAATAAATAAATAAATAGATAAATAAATAAAAATATAAAAAATGAAAAATTAAAAAAAAAAAAAAAATTGCACAATGTATAAATATGGAATTTGAAAAAGAAGAATATTAAAAAATAATATAAAAATAATAAAAATAATGATAATAAAAAAAAAAGATAAAAAAAAATAAAAAAAATAAAAAAAAAAAAAAGAAATATAAATTTTTAAAATTAATATGCATAACATCATCCTAAAAGTTGCACGTGATCCACCGCAAGTGTTTTTAATTTTTTTATAATTATTTTTAAAAATAATTTTTAAAATAATTTTTTAGTTTTTAGTTTTCAAAATTTAATAACACCAACAAATGTATCTAATTTTTAAAAAAATGATTTTAAAAAGCCCATGGTTTTGTGGATAAAAAATATAAGGTGCCCTCGTGATTAATGGAACTTGAACAGTGACTTTTTTATTATCTTAAAAAAATTTGTGCCATCAAAAAAAATCCCACACTTTTTTTTTTTATTTTTTTTATTTTTTTTATTTTTTTTTGATGTTGGAATTAAATAATAATTAATTATAAAAAAACAAATTAAAATTAATTTAATTTTTAACTAAATATAGTATAAAGTATAAACTTTTTTTTATTTATTTTTTATTTATTTATTTATTTTATTTATAATATAAACTACATTATTACTATTGGTTCAGAAACATATGTAATAAATTATTATTATAATATGAAAAAAAAAAAATATAAAAAAAAATAAAAAAAATATTTTATTTACTTTTTAAAGAGAGAATAAACTAATAATTGATTTCTTTCTTGGTTGAGGGATTACAGGGCTAGGACTCATCGAGATATTTACACCATTTGAACCACAATCTGTATTAGTAACACAAGAAACAATAGTTGGGGAGCTTGGAGCTTTACCTTTTTGGAAAGGTGATCTATTATTTGAATTACTGGCTGATAAACTATTGTTATTGTTATTGTTACTATTGTTGTTATTGTTATTATTATTGGTATTATTCATATTTGGGGTATTAATTTGTGGTACAGATAATGAGGAGTTTGATTCATTTAAATCAATATTATTGGTTGAATTTGATAAACTGTTACCATTGCTATTCATTGAATGGGATAAATTGATATTATTGGTTGTTGATGTTGTAGTTGTAGTGGTTGTATTATTAGTACCATTTACACTATTAAATGATGATGAGTTATTTAATCCATTGGATGGTGAGTTGGGGAAACTTCTACCTGTATATAAATATAATGGTGTATCTTCAGAATAAAATCTATCACTTGATTTATTTAAATTATTATTATGACTGTTATTATTATGATTATATTATTATTATTATTGCTATTGCTATTATTATATTATTATTATATTATACAATTATTATTTGAATGGTATTATTTGTATTAATATAACTTCCACTTGTATTAAGATAATTTGGATTTAGTTGCTTTAGTTGTTTTCTTAGTTCTAAAATTTCCTCTTCTAATTGAGCATGTCTTCTTTCATGTTGCTAAATATTGAAAAAACAAAAAAAAATATTAATAAAAACATTTTAACTTTTTTTTTTGATTTGGATTATACTTACTTCATTTTCCCCTTCATATTCATTGATTAGTTTTTGATAGTTTTGAATTTCTTTATCTTGAGAGTCTATTTTTTGTCTTAATTCTAAATTTTCTTTTTCTAAACCATAAACTGTCATCTCTAATCCTCTTAATTTCATTACAGGTGAATGTAATGGGTTTGGTTTATTTGGGTCGTTTGATACATTTAAACCATTATTTAAATTTGGACTAATTAAAGATGCCATTGTTATAAACAATAAATTATAATGATGGTGATGATTAAAATGACTGGATAAAAATAACAATAATAGTATTTATAAATACTTATAACACAATACTAAAAACAAAGAAAAAAATAACAACACTGTTTCAAAAAAAAATAAAGTGAAAAAAAAAAAAAATTTAGATTTAAAAGAATTAACAATTTAAAAAAATAAAAAATTATTAAATAATTATTATATAAATATAGTTTGAATGTGTGAAAAAAAAAAAATTAAATAAAACAATAAAAAGAAAAAAGAATTAAATTATTGTTTATTTGTTTTTTTTTCTGTGGTAGTTATTATTGTATTATTATAAAATGCACGCGCTAACACACAAACTTTATAAAAACAATTATATGTAGTAAGGTTGTAGGTAGTGTATAGTTGTTATAGAAGTTGTTATAAATAATGTGTAATAAATAATTAAAATTTGTGTATTTAAATAAATATGAAAAAAAAAAAAAGAAAAAAAAAAAAGAAAAAATAATTAAAATATTATTTTTTTTTTCTACACACCCACAAAAAAAAAAAAAAAAGTTAGTGAGTGTGTTTTGTATTTGAAATAATATCAAATTATCCACCCCTTAGTGTAATACATCCAGCCAAAATATAAAATAAAAAATAAAATAAAAAAATAGAAAAATAAAACTGCTAGAACTATTTTTATCAATAATATTATAATAGTGTTGGTGTAAATTATTTATGTGTGTGTGTGTGTGTGTGTGTGTTGAAAAAAAATAAAAACAAAAAAAACAAAAAAAAAAAAAAAAAAAAGAACAATTTCTTTATGTGGGTGAATAAATAAATAAATAAAAAATATATTTTATTGCTATTTGTTATTTATTAGTTTCATAACTAAATTTTCTAATTGATCAATATCTCTTTTTACATTTTTACTGGATGATAAAAAAAAAAAATTAGAAAAGGAACAATTTTAAAAAAATAAATAAAAATCATATTTACATTTGACTATTTAATTTATACATTTCGAACATATCCGAGTTTAACAATTCCAATGAATTAATAAGCATTTTCAATGTCTCTGATACCCTAACAGCCTCTAAAGTGGCCTTATTTATTGTTGATGCATAGTTTTCCATATTACTTGATGATATTTTACCAATCTAAAAATAAAAGAATGTTAGAATTTATAATTACTAGTTTTTATTATATATTTTAGTATCCAAAAATATACCAACATTATCACAAATTGTATTGACATTTAATAATAGCTTGGCAAATTCACCACCACAATTTTCAGTATCTTTTTTTATTTTATCTAAAAACAGTTGATATTGTTTTTCTGTATATATAATATTTTCCTTTTTCTTCCTTCTTCTTTTTGAACCATTAATATTAGTTTGATTGTTTTTATTATTTTTATTATTGTTATTATTAGATAATAAATTTTTTTGATTAACTAAAACTATATTGCCATTATTATTGTTATTGTTATTGTTATCAATACTATTATCCTGTTGAAGAGTATCACTACTATCCTTTATATTTAAAATATTCTTAAATGATTCATATGTACCAATACTATTGCCATAGCTAGCACTATTGAAACTGCTGTAGCTACTAAAACTATTACCTTCACTATTATCGGTGTATGTATGCTTTTTTTTTTCTTCTAACTCTTTTTGTTCTTTTATATCTTGTAAAACTGATTGAAAAAAGTTCTCTTTATAGTGATCTATAAACTCACTACTATCATAGCTATTATCACTATCATCATAGGCGCTATTGTCTAAATGTGTAATGGTTGTATTTAAATTGGTTGTTGAGGTATTATTATAATCTTCTTCGTCATCACTACTATCGAGTTTAAAATTTGAAAATAGTTTTGATGTTATAGTACCCAAACCTTTTTTTTCTTTCCCTATTTTAATTGGCGAGGACGGTATTGAATTTCCAAAATATTGATCATTATTATTTACATTTAATACTTTTTTATTTTTATTATTCATTTACAGTATTATATACTTTTATTATTTTTATTATCACTACTACTACTATTATTATTACACGTTATTGCTATTGTTTATATTCTATTAAATATTATTATAATTTTAACAATTATATTTAATCTTTTGTTTCCACTTTTTTCCTTTATATATTTATGTGAATGTGTGAGTATATTATTATGAGTATTATTATAATTGTGTGTGTGATGACTTTAAAAATTAATAATAATAATTTATTATTTATTTATTTATTTATTTATTTGTAGATTAAAAAAGATAACAAATTGAAAGATAAAAAAAATAAAAAAAATGAATAAAATTTTTTTTAATTTTATTTTTTTTTTATTTTTTCTTTTTTGGAATTTATTTGTTTTTTTTTATTTTCTATTTTTTTTAAAATTAATCAAATTTAGATTTTTATAGACAAATATAAATATAATAATAAAATAAAATTGTATAAAAGCAAAAAAATATAAAAATAGAATATGATAGAGAATATTCTCTGCAACTAAGAGAATTTTATTTTTTTGTTTTTTTTTTCGTTTTTTTTTAAATTTAATTTAAATTGATTTTTTTTTTTAATTTTTTTTTCTTATTTTTTTTTTTTTTTGGAATTTTTTTTATTAAAACAACCAGATAAATATCGCACATATTTAAACAAATACAACTTTTTTTAAAAAAAACTAAATTTATATATGGATGGGATAGATTAATTTTTATAGCATATGTATAGATAAGAATTAAAACAGTAATAATTATAATAATAATAATAATAATAGTAATAATATTAATAAAAGTTAAAAATACGAAAAAACAAAAATGGAAAAAATAAAAACATTGTTTTTTTCTGTCAGAGATTATTTCAGAGAAAGCAAACCTGAAATTGTTTATTTATTGGGATGGACTTTTCCAGTTTTAATATCAAATATATTAAATCAGGTAGTATATTTATTGGTTAATATGATTTCAGTTGGTCATATTGGCGAAAATGAATTAGCTGCTGTTTCTTTAGGTAAGTACTTAAAAATAAAAATAGAAAAAAAAAAAAAAAAAAAAAAAATCAAATATTAAACATTGTTTTTTTTTTAAACAAAGGTAATACATTTACATTTGCAACAAGTTCATTTATTATAGGTTCGTTTAATTCGATGGACACATTTATTAGTCAAGGTTATGGTGCAAGTATGTGCAAAAAAATATAAAAATATAAAAATAAAAAAAGATTTCAAATTATTTTTTTGAAAAATCAAAATTTTTATTTTTAATCTCAACAAATAATTTTAAAATTCAGAGGGTTAATAGTTTTTTTTTTTTTTTTTTTATAAATTTTAGAAAATTATAAATTAATTGGTGCAACACTTCAAAGAGGTCTTGTAGTTTCACTGGCATTAAGTGTTTTTGTTAGTAAGTAAAATTTGAATTTTTTCTTTTCAAATAACAATAGTCTAAAATTATTAATTTTTATTTTAAGCAATATTATGGATTGTTACAGAACCACTTTTACTTTTATTACATCAAGATGAAGTTGTAGCAGAGTTGACCAAACATTATGTTTGGGGTATGTTACCAGGTTTATGGTTTAGCAATGGGTTAACAGTATTACAAAAATATTTACAAGGTCAAGGTATTATGTATCCATCAATTATTTGTGGTGTAGTTTTAAATATAGCGAATGGTATTTTTAATTTTGTTTTAGTTCATGGTGTAACATCAAGTGGGGGCATTGGCGTTGTAGGATGTGGTTTATCAACATCAATTTCGAAATTCTTTGCAACAGCTTTGCTTTTACTTTGGATAAAGAAGTTTGAACTCTACAAAGGAACATGGTTTGGTTTTTCATACAATGAATGCTTTGGTTGGGATGGTTTAAGAGAGTATCTTAAATTAGCCATACCTGCAGGTGCTCAAATGGTTTTCGAAGGTTGTGCTTTTGAAATCCTAACAGTTTTAGCTGGTTTGTTTGGTGCTATCGAACTTGATGGTCATTCTATTGCGATGAATTTCACTCTTCTTACTTTTATGTTACCGTTCAGTGTCTCTATTGCTTTATCAGTTAGAATTGGTCAATTATTAGGTCAGAAAAATGCAGAGATGGCAAAAAAATCAACTAGAATAGGATATTTTATTACAATGTCATTTATGGTTCTCATTTCACTCTTCCAATTTTCATCTAGACATTGGATTGGCAGAATTTACACCAATAAACAAGAGGTTTTGGATTTAGTAGCAAAGATTCTCCCAATTAGTGCATTGTTCCAATTCTTTGATGGCTTCCAAACCACTTGTCAGGGTGTAATTAGAGGCACAGGTAAGAATAAGATTGGTGCTATTGTTAATTTTGGTGCATTTTATATCATTGGTATGCCATTCAGTGTGGTATTTGCATTCGCTTTTCATCTTCAGGTTTTAGGTCTTTGGTGGGGTCTTTGTATTGGTTTAGCATCAGCAGCTGTAGTTTTAGGTATTGTTGTTGTTAGAATCGATTGGGATAATGAAGTTAAAGTTGCTTTAGCAAGAACTGCAACCTTTGAGGATATCAGTAATGTGGATGTAGAAATGCAAAATGGTGCCGATATTAATAACGAAGATGACGAATTTGAAAGATTCAATAGAGAAAAATCAGAAGGGTCACTTGGGGAAGCAATTTTAAATTCAAAATTAAATGGTTATAGCGCATTGGATCAGAATACTACCCAAGAGGATGATAACCAAGCACCAATTCTTTCAAGAGATTATGTAAAATTAAATAATTCAGATTCGGAACAAGATATTTATCAAAATATAAACTCACAAACAGTAAGCATTATGAATAGTAGTAATAGTGACAACGAAGAAGATGGGGGAGGCTCTAAAAGCGATGTTGGTAGCTCTGCTATTTTAAATTAAATCCAAAATATATAAATAAAAAATAAAAAAAATAAAATAATTTTTTTTTTTTTATAAAAATAAAAGAGATAATAGTTTGTTTTAAAAATAAGTATAGAAAATTATTATTTATACCATTGAACTTGCACTATTTTGAATAACCATACCCAATAATACCAATCCATACTTTTGAACCTTTCTGTTAAGGTATCAGTTTATAAATGATCGAAAAAATTGGTAATTATTAATATTATTTTTACAACAAAAATAAATTAAAAAAGATCACCCCCCCAAAAAAAAGATGATAAAGAAAAACAGATAAATTTAAATTGTATAAGAAATTCTAAAAATTTTATTTACTTTTTTTTTTTATATGAACTATTTAATTCAATTCTGAAACTGTATCCTAAAGTAACATTTAATTGTTTATTTATACTACTCTAAAAGGAGGGAAAACAAATATTAATAAATTATTACTAATCTAAAAATATTAATATTAATATTGTTTTTATAATCTTTTTTTGTATTAATTGTATATTGTTTTTATAATCAATAAATAAAATAAAAACAAAAAAAAAAATTCCTTCAATTTATTATCATTTTTATTCATTTTTTATCAGTATCTAATCAATAAATATAATCATTAACATAGATACTTGAACGTTTTTATTTTTGGATATTTGTATCTGTGTGTTATATATATTGTTTGGTCGGGGTTTGAAATGGAGTCTGGTTTTAAAGGATAGACTACATCACCAATTACAATTAATTTTATAGAGTCAGGGATAATACCTTTTGTTAAATGTTGAGAGAAACCATTATCAAATCCAAGGCTTTTTAAATGATTTGGAATAGAACCAGGTATTAATTGATACTTGATGTTATATAAAAACAAACATTTTACGGTAGGTGGTATAAATTTAAGTGATTGATCAAAGTTTTCTTCTAAAATTAAATGTATAACTGTTGATGGAATTGAAAAAGGTAATAATTGATACCTGATGTTATTTAAATACAAACATACTACTGTAGGTGGTATAAAATTAAGTGGTTGATTAAAGCCATCTTGTAACATTAAATGTGTAACTGTAGTAGGAATTGAACTTGGTTTTAATTGATACTTGATGTTATCTAAAGACAAAAATCTTACCTTGGGTTGTATAAAATTAAGTGGTTGATCAAAGCCATCTTCTAAATATAATTGTTTAATTGTTGTTGGAATTGAACCAGGTTTTAATTGATACTTGATGTTATGTAAATACAAACATACTACAGTGGGTGGTATAAAACTAAGAGGTTGATTAAAGCCATCTTGTAAAATTAAATGTATAACTGTAGTAGGAATTGAACCAGGTATTAATTGATACTTGATGTTATGTAAATACAAACATACTACTGTAGGTGGTATAAAATTAAGTGGTTGATTAAAGCCATCTTGTAAAATTAAATGTGTAACTGTAGTAGGAATTGAACTTGGTATTAATTGATACTTGATGTTATGCAAAGACAAAAAACTTACGGTGGGTGGTATAAAATTAAGTGATTGATCAAATCCATCTAGTAAAGATAATTCTGTAATTGTTGCAGGAATTGAATAAGGTTTTAGTTGATACTTGATGTTTTCTAGATGCAATGATTCTACGGTGGGTGGTATAAAATTAAGTGATTGATTAAAGCCATCTAGTAAATATAATTCTGTAACTGTTGCAGGAATTGAATCAGGTATTAACTGATACTTGATATTATGTAAATACAAACATTCTACGGTGGGTGGTATAAAATTAAGTGGTTGATTAAAGCCATCTAGTAATAATAAATGTGTAACTGTTGTAGGAATTG